GCAATGATGAGCGTTTTTCAGGTGCTTGTGAGCCCTTTATGTGTCTTTCTGAGAAATACCCATTCCTATCACTTGCCTAATCTTTAGCATCGGGTTTGTGTTTTCCTGAGGAGCTCGGTCTCATGTATTCTGGGAATTAATCCCGGGGTGGATGAAGGATATGCAAAGGTTCCCCATTCTTGGGTTTCCTCTTCACTGTGCTGATGGCTTCTGGCTCTTCTGAAGCCTAAGTTGGTGCAGTCCACCTGTCTGTCCTTCGCCCTTGCAGCAGCTGATTTCCCCCTGAAGCACTTAACCCCACCTTCCGTGGGAGAACCCCAACTCTGAGGCTAGTGCCTTCACACCCTGCGTATGGTTCCCAAAGTTATTATGTGGCTTTGCTTTTAACCAGGTCAGCAAATAGGTGGCCTGGTTCAGAAACCCTACAAGGATCCTTCCAACCACTTATGGCCGAGACGTCTTTGGGGAAAACGTGGTAAAGCGTTTCTGCCCGGGCAAACAGAAGCCACTGCCCACAAGAGTAAATAACCCACCCGCAGCCAGGCTGCTCGCAGCAGCAGGTCTGGGCCCTGAGTCTCCTGCACTTTGCAGTGGCTGTGCTGCCAGGACTGTGGGTTCCAGCCCTGGGGGTCACTCGGCTCGCTGCACTCTGTCCCCAGCAGCCGTGCGGTTGGCTTGGGGACAAATGCCCCGGTGTGGGCCCTGAGCATCTCGATGCAGACACCTGCTGGTTCTCTGCAGAATGCCAGTACTTGGGCCCATTGGAGCCTCCACAGGCAGCAGCCCATCCAGCAACCCCAACCCCTCTCCAGCCCTTAGGCTGGAGCTCTAACCACCGGGCTCTCCATGCCATTCCCTCTACTCTAGTCTTTATGCACAAATGACATTTGTGTTTGGAAGTAAAATTCACATATAAAACTAGCCTCGTGTGTGTGTGTGTGTGTGTGTGTGTGTGTGTGTGTGTGTTTGAGACAGGGTTTCACTATGCAGCCCAGACTGGCCTTGAACTCACTTTCTAGCCCAAACTGGCCTCAAACTCACAAAGACCCTCCTGCCTCAGCCTCCTAAGTGCTGGGATTACAAGTACGCACCGCCGTGCCCCGTCTAAAACTAGTGATTTTAAAGTGAACACCTTCATCGTGGTGACCGTGCCCATTGCACTGCAAAACCATCCCCGCTCTCACATTGTGGGTCCATGTCCTGTTCCTCCCTTCCCAGCCCTCGGCACACACCAATCTGCTTCCCATCTCCATGGCACTGGCTGAGTAGTCCATGTCAAGGGACTCGTGCCATATGTGGCATCTTCCTGTGTCCATTTCACTCTTTTTTTTAACAGCTGAATAATGGCCCATTTTTAGCTCTCAGGAATAGTGTTGTTATGAATGGTTGTGCATAGTTACTTGTTTGGGTGTCTGTTTTAATCCTGTGGTTTAAGTGATGTTTTACAGTTAGCAAAGCTTATTGTCTTTCCACTGTCTCTTTTCACTTCCCATTCAGGAGAAGCATGCATTTTAATTGGTCTATTGCCCCTAAAGGAAATTTGGGGGGCCAGATTCATCAGCAAGAATCAGTTCAGCCAAGTAAGTCTATTAGCTCTCCTCGTGCCTTTTTATTCTGGTAGGCATTGTGTCAGTCAGCTTTCCGATTACTGTAACAAAATGCCTGAGATGCCACACTTAAAAAGGAAGAAAGGTTAAGTTTGGCTTGCAGTTTTGGACAGTTCAGTGATCAAAGCACAGCAAGGAAGCAGAGCTTCTACTGGAGGATGCTCCCGTTGCCAGCGCAGAGAAGGATGCACCTGATGAAGGGCCCTGCAGGCTCGGCCGCAGCTCTAAAGGTCAGCGAGTGGCAGGAAGGGCACCAAGCAGACCGGTCTGAGACTGCAAGCTCCAGCGAGCAGCAGAGGACACAAGGTGAAGGCGGCTTTCAATTAGAACATTTTTTGCCGCCCAGCAAGCACGGGGCCTCTTTGCAAGAAAAGCGCCTGAGAGGTGCCAGCCTTCTTGTGGCCAAACCACAGAAAGAAAGCAGTGCAGCACGCTCAGAGGCAACCCTGAAGGATGGCACAGCTCTCCCACCTCAGGGTGGCAGTGCACAGCCTTGTGACACTTTCTGCCTTCGGTTTTTAGGTAGCAGAATGAGAATGTTTTCACTGCCACCTTCTGTGTCAGACTGGTGAGCGTAAAGTGGTTTAGCAGCAACTCCCAAGTACCCTCGATGCCCAGTCCAGGGAACAGAGGCTCGTCATCCAGATCTTATTTATGATGTGGCCCATTTGACTAATTATTTTCACTCTCAAAAATAGAACAGAGTCACAGACCTAGCAACACAGTGAGCTAGGTGTGAGCTGCAGGCCTGTAATCCCAAAACTCTGGGAGGCTGAGGCAGGAGAGTCATAAATTTGAGCCTAGCTCGGGCAATTTAGCAACTTAGCAGGAGGCTATCTTGAAAAATTATTAAAAATAAAAAGTTCCTTCAGAAGGGTTGGGGATTATTAAAAATAAAAAGTTCCTTCAGAAGGGTTGGGGATGTCGGTTAGTGTGAAGCCTCTGAGTTCAGTCCCCAGTACCACAGAATGAACAAACAAAGACCTGCCAAGAGGCGGTGACGCGATGTAATGTTCCGAGTTCGGTTTGAATCCCACCTCCACTTCTTACTGGCCTTGTGAACTTTGGCAGATTCCTTGATGTCTCCAATGGGACTGGGCATGGCTGCTCATCAGATCAGAGGCTGTTTGGAGGAAAGCCCCTGGCACAACACCCGACATAGAACAGCAGACCACACCTTGTGGCCACTCAAGTGCTGGGACTCCTGACCACGTCCACATCATGCCGTCATGTTTGAGAAGCAGGAATCCCAAGCCTGGGCTCCCAGAGGGTGGTCTCACAGCCCTGGGCAGGCTGGGCCACTGGTGTTTCCTACAGTTTCCCGAGGAGACTCTTAGCTGCAGCCGGGGCTGAGGCCACCCCAGCAGATCATGTTAGCACTCCGGAGGTTTAAAGCGTCTATCCCCCGAGACTGATCGGAACAGCAGGAATTCTGGGCAGAGTCAAAAATTCACTACACCGGCAGCTCTAAGCCCTTGATAAGAGAGGGGCGGCCAAGGAATCGCATTCCATTTTATCCTGAGAAAAAACAATTTCAGAGTCTTGGAAGAAAAGTCCTGAGCTGGAGGTGTAAGCAGTTTAGCCTAAGCCTCACACATAAAACTGGGAACTCCCAGTAGGCTGAGGTTTATGTCTGGGGGTGAGCCCAGGGTTTCATCCTCCCAGGAGATATAAATTGAGGCCTTGAGGGCTTAATGGCGAGGAGGAGAAAAGGTTCCCAGAATGACACCTTAAACATCTCAGGCTCGCTAATGCCGGGGCTAGAGGAGCGGGTCTGTAATGGCAGGGGCGCCATGGGGGCAGATTCTGGTCCCTGCTCTGGGGTTTCCAGCATCCAAACCTAGGTCATCGAGAACCTCCATTTTCCCCATAGGTTTATGGTATTAGTTACCCAATAAAAGTTGGGTTAATTTTACAACCCAAGTAAAATTTAAGCCAAAAAGGCTTCAGCGTTACTCTAGGATTTATGAAGGTAAACATATGGGGTACTCATAGGACCAGGCAACATTAAAATCTCAATGTCTCCATGTCAGGTATGTGATGTATTTACTGGCGTGTGGACTTCAAGGTTACATTTTTAAGAGCTCTGCAAGATAGGCTATTTTGGAGACTAAAACAAAGACATTTTCCCATGTTCACCTTCAGAGATGGGGACCAGAAACCTGCAGAAAACGGGAGGCTTTGCCAGGCCCCAGCGGGGAAGCGTAGCACTGTGCTCTGAGCTCGGTCCTTCTTCCTGAGCAAACGTCTGTGCTTTCCATGTGTGTCCTTTCCTCTGTGACCGTTGCACATAGATTAATCATCACTGTCCCCTGCCAGCTTTGTGGTTAAAAAGCTTTTACCAGACTTGGCGTGCAGGGCTCGGCTTGCACCTGTAGGGCGGGAGGGCGTGGCTCCGGCACACAGATGAGAAAGCCGTGGCTCGTTCTCCAGGATTTGAACAAGGGCAAAGCAGCCCCAAAGGGAAGGCAGTGCTGGGCCGAGCCAGTGTGTGGACAGCAGCGCGGTGGGCAGGCATCCTGGGGGCATCCCTGCAGCCAGGATGCCAGGCGCTCTGTGGCCCTGGCCCCCACATGCGCTCAGGGGAGGTCTGGCCTCTGTCCTGCACGCTGGCCCCACCATCTGGGTCCTGCCCTCCAGTCCTGTCGCTGACCACACTCACATGAATCAGGTCACACTCTGGTGTTGCTCTGTCTTCAAGATAAAATCCGTGTCCGTCTTTTATTTAACACCATACTTTTGAGGCGATAAAATGTTAATGAGACTTTGAAAGCACTAGGGGACCATGAAGGCAAGGTTTCTGTAGACTTTCCCCGAGCCATCCTTGGGTTTGGTGATGCATCTGGACTTCTCCAGTCTGTGGTTGCCTCTCCAGCCACGGCCAGCCATCTGCCCGGGTGTCTCTGGGTCCTTCCCAGCCGGCGGGTATTCCTAATTGACATGTCACTTGCAGTGGACCTGGGGCTGATGGGCCCACACCTTCCCAGCCAGTGAAGCAGAAATAGTCTGCACTTAAAAACAAAAACTCGTGGCCATGTGTACAGATTCCCCACTCATTTCCTTTCCTCTTAAAAGTACATCATCTTCTAGCCCACCACCAGCTGCGAAAATAAAAGCATTTTCTCCCGTACTTAAGGGTGATTTTGTGCTCCAGGCTGGTTGTCTGGGGGTGCAGGAAACTAGACCAACGCGACCAACAGATGTTTTAAGCCTTGTGGTGGAAGCTAAGCAAAACTCCGATTCCTCAACTGTGATCTTTGGGATGTGGCGCTCAACTGCGCCCCCTGGTGACCTCTGGGGGCATCGCGCAGTCAGCACCCTGCATGCCACTGGGTGCCTCTGCTTTGTCTTCAGAGATGAGAGCCTTGGCTAACAACTCTGCTTTGTCTTTAGAGATGAGTACGAGGAAGATGGGTTCTGCCAGCCCTACCGAGGGATCGCCTGCGCCCGGTTCATTGGCAACCGCACTGTCTACATGGAGTCTCTGCACATGCAAGGGGAGATAGAAAATCAGATCACAGGTAGGTGACTCCAAGGAGACCATGCTTATCCCTGGAACAGTTTACTGTCACTGAAAGTCTTGTCAAGGCAAAGGACTGGGCTGGATGAGGGAGCTGGGAGCAGGACCCTAAAGACAGGCATGGGAGACGTGATCTCTGAGCTCTGGAATTTACATTAAAATAATTTACTAAAGGTTGCTCTTAGAGGAAAAGAAAGCTTTGAGAAATCTCACATTCACTCAAACACTCAATAAATACTTCAGAGTCCTTCCAGGGTTGTCGGCCTCTGTGGGGAGGGTGTGGTAACAAGTGGTCGGCTTGGCCCTGAGGCTCAGGGAGAGCACTTCCTCCTGGGGGAGGTCCCTGTTGCCCTGGATCCCTTCTCCTTCTTTGTGAGGCTCCTGCCTGACCTCTCAGTGTTGAACATTTTGTATTTTTAAATTAAAACTTAATCTTCTGTTGGTAGATGTCTAGCAGTAGAGCCTTCCGGGGCTCACACGAGTGTGGTAGTGAAGGCCACTGTGGACTTGGGTATCACAGCTGTCAGGTGTCCCTTCCATGAACGTGGTCACTGTGTCCCTGGGCCTTTTCAGTCCTTTGTTAGAATTCATGAAGTTCCAGGGAGGCCGCCCAGGGCAGCAGGTGCCGTAAAGGATACCCAGCTACGCCTGTGCTTCAGATAAGCACCATGTTTTTTTAGTGAATGTTTGTCTCAAAGTCCACTGGAGTCTGATAGCATCTCTGGTAACCTGAGAATTTAACAGAGGCCAGAACAAGCCTATGCAGGTGAGTAGAGCAGCCAAGGGCACAGAAATCGGGTTCCTGGGAGAGGCATGGAGCCAGTGGGGCCTTGGGGAGCTGTTTACCTGGGAAACAGCTACAGGAGGATGGTATGACCCTTGGCCAAAGCCGTCAGGTGTTTGAAAGAAAAGAGGACAACTCTGAAATGTCGAAGAGCAGACATGGTCTCAGGGTAGAACTGTCGATGACACCTTTCAGCCAACTCTGAGAACATTCTAGAACATTTCAGCTAAGTAAACAGGGATCCTGCTGGAAGTGTTTGGTGACCCACTCACAACAGCCCTCTGGGGGAGAGATTGGTGACACCAGTTTACTGGGAATTATTGCTATGGAGCATCTATTTAGCCGGTTTCACCAGCATTTCCCGAGTAGTTCTGGCCTCAGTCTGCCCTGTAACATTCTGTAGGACTGCTGTCCCAGGAACGCTCTTCAGGAAGTGTGGTACAGACACCCTCTGGGCTGTCCCAGGAGGGTGGTGCTGGAGGCCCGGCTAAAGGACCAGGAAGGTTCTGTGTGCGCGGCCCTGGAACTAGCAGTACCAGCTGGAACTGCCGAGTCTGGCTGCGTGGCAAGGTCCCCGTGGGCTGCCTCCTTTCAGAAGGCCGGGTAGAAAGCGCCGGGGTCCCAGGGTTGCACAGCAAGTTCCCAGAGTCCCCCAGCCCACTGCTCCCGCCAGGCTGCAGCCGAACCACCACCCACAGCACATTCTGCTCCCCCACCCCCAGCCCTGCAAAACTAATAAAAAGAGCCGGATGAGACACAGAGTTCCAGCGCTTTGTAGTAAAAAATGAAAAATAGATTGTGCTCCAACCTAATTAATTATTTGCTTAGGAAATGGTACATATGTAATCTTATCCTGTTTTTTTAACTTTGTAGTCAAAATGATTTTTTGGAGCCAGCGAGAGCTGGCCGCTTACACATCTGAAAGGAAATCTCCTCCCTGGGCCCCGCGTGGCTGGGAGGCAGATTCCTCCCGGCCGCCGGCCCGATCCACCCCAGAAGGACGAAGCCCAGGCAGCCCGCTCACCACGGCCTTTCTTTCAGCCGCCTTCACCATGATCGGCACCTCCAGCCACCTGTCCGACGAGTGCTCACAGTTCGCCATCCCCTCCCTGTGCCACTATGCCTTCCCCTACTGTGACGAAACCTCGGCGGCCCCAAAGCCCCGAGACCTGTGCCGCGACGAATGTGAGATCCTGGAGAACGTCCTGTGTCAGACGGAGTATATCTTCGCGAGGTCCAACCCCATGATCCTCATGCGGCTGAAGCTGCCCAACTGCGAGGACCTCCCGCAGCCTGAGAGCCCAGAGGCTGCACACTGCATCCGCATCGGCATCCCTATGGCGGACCCCATCAACAAGAGTGAGTGGGGCCCTGACCTCCGGGTGGCCTCGGGAATCAACAACCCCGTGCATAGTGCAAAGGGAACACGGATGGGTGTGTGTAGCTGCTGGCCCCCCTTTCAGTGGGCTGCACACTACGGCCTCTGTGTCCAGATACATTAAGAAGCTTCGTAAGGATGATTCAAAGTATAGCCTGGGTTTCTCAGGAACTTGGGCAGAATTCCTGTGTGACCCAGCAGGTCTGCCCCAAATGAATGTGCAATCAAAGGATTTGAACACAGGCACTAAAGAAAAACCTCATGGAAGAGTGTTTGAATGTCACAGTTGGCTGTAGCTGAAAAGTAACAACTCCATGCAGAAGCAGTTCCACAATGGTGGTATAGCTATACAAGGGAGTATTATTTAACCATAAAAAGGGATGATGAGGCCCGGGGATTTAGCTCAGTGGTGTAAGTGCCTGCCTGGTAAGCGCAAGGTTGTGAGTTTTATCCTCAGTACCACGTGCACACACAAATAAAGAAAAATCAAAATGAACCTCTCTTTAAAAAAAAAAAAAGGGGATGAGGAAGCTTGAAGGCCTTACACTAAGTGGAAGAAACCAGTCACTGTAGGATTCCACAGCTGTGAATATCAGAATGGTCAAACCCACTGAGCCAAAGCAGAGCAGCTGCCAGGGCCGAGGGCCAGGACCTGGGGATGCGGGGGGGGGGGGGGGTCTACTTAGCAGATTCAGGGTCTCCACTTGGAGAGGCTCCAGGACCTAACAGTAGTGATGTTGTAGAACTTCGTGAAGGCCCTGATAACACAGTTTAGGGAATGCATTGGCTTGGAGTTTGAAATAAATATGTGCCAAGGCTTTCCTCCACTCTCTACCGGCTCTCTACAACCAAAGGGGAGACTTCTCAGCTGCTTCCCTTTCAGGAGGACCTGGGCCCAGGGTGCCAGTCTGTTACCACAGCCATTCGCTGGTCGCTGCATCTCAAATGTGCAGAGCGGTGTTTATCCATCGAAGCTACTCTGTCACTCTTCCTGCCACCCCTGCAGACCCAGTTAGGGTTAGGTCAGGGGTCCTGCTGTGCTTTGAAGTTGAGCCCAGGTCACCGGGAAGACCTGTGTCTGTGCTGTCCCCTCCATCAGCAGAAACGCCCCTGACTCCCACTAGGGATCCAGGATGTGCGGTCGCGAGAGACATTTTCTGGGATTCACTTTCACAGTGACTCCCCTAGAACCACTGTGCACCCTCAGAATGCAGGGGAAGCTTGGCCTGAAGCTTCCTCCGACCACTGATTCCCCGGCAGCCAGCGCTGTGGCCTGGTCTCAGGCTCCCACCCCTGCTCACTGATGGAAATACTTGGGGCAGGCGGGCTGCCCCCCACAGGAAGCTGACCCCCTTCCCTGCAGCACAGTCCTGCCCTGGAGCTCCCCGGCCCACAAGGTTCATCGCACCCCTTCCTCTTTGTGTTTTCAGATCACAAATGCTACAATAGCACAGGTGTGGACTACCGGGGGACAGTGAGTGTGACCAAGTCGGGGCGACAGTGCCAGCCGTGGAACTCCCAGTACCCCCACACACACACTTTCACCGCCCTCCGCTTCCCGGAGCTTAACGGAGGCCACTCCTACTGCCGCAACCCTGGGAACCAGAAGGGGGCGCCCTGGTGCTTCACCCTGGATGAGAACTTCAAGTCAGACCTGTGCGACATCCCAGCGTGCGGTAAATACCAGTCACCACCCCATAGCGCCTGGGGTCATCTCCCACAAGGCTCACCCCAGCGCCCCTGCCGAGGAGAATCCCGGGAGGGGGAGTCTAATCGCCAACCCTTGCTTGTCTTGTGTGCTATCTAGCATAGATAAACCTGGCACTGCCTACATAAACACACAGGTAGAGTGGCAAGTGCACTGCAAGGGGTAACTGCACCCTGCAGCTCCCCAGAAACACAGCAAGGCATCTGTCACCCGGCTTCCTGCAGAGATGGCACCAGAGGGGTCCCATGGCCAGCGGCCTCCCCAGCATGGCAGCTGGCTTGGGAGCAGAAGGAAGGCTGTTCCCTCTGTGTCCTCGAGGGCACCCCCAGACGTGATGCATCCACATCCATCACTCTGTAGTCCAGGGCCATCTGTGGGTAAACTGAGTCCTAGCCTCATGAGCGGACAGGAAGGCTGTTCCCTCTGTGTCCTCGAGGGCACCCCCAGGCGTGATGCATCACATCCATCACTCTGTAGTCCAGGGCCATCTGTGGGTAAACTGAGTCCTGGCCTCATGAGCTGACATAGTGGAAAGATCTGTGCAAACCCCTGGGGAACCAACGTGTCCTCCCTATCCTAGTTCTCGCAGACGCAGGCATGAGTGCCCCAGGCTTGGAGGGGAGTTGGGGTGCTCTGCAGAGGCTGCAGTCACAGGACACACGCAGCTCCAGCCAGGGCCCAGGCCTCCATGTGGCCATGCATTGATTCTGTGGCACCTGCTACTGGCCAGGGCTTGCTTTTTCATGCGTAGGGCAGACAGGGACCCTAAGGTGGGAGCCCCACACATCCAGGGAGGGCTGTGGGGCCAGGGGCTGGAGCAGAGTGTGCAAGGAGGAAATTTTGGGCCATAGTCACACCAAACCTGGGGATGAGGGTGGCACTGCAGCTGCGACCTGGTGAAGCAGTGCCCTGAGTGCAGGCGATGCGCCTCCATGCATCCCTAGAGGACAGAGTGCACTGGTCGCTCCTCCCCAGTGAACACCACCGTCCTTCAGGAGACTTCTGAGCCTCCCCTCATGCCTGGCGAGTGCCCATCAGGACTGGGGAAGTCCTAATGTGGGGGGTTACACACTAGGTCCAGGTCTCCACCGTGTGTTTCACGAGCCTTCCTTTCCATTTCCCACCTTCCCGAAGCCCTCACACCACATCCATGCTCAGAGACACGAGCTCACACTCATGAGGTCACATCCATCTGCTGCCACCCCTGCCTACCAGTACCCGTATGGTGCCCAATGTTTGACACACTTGTGTCTGTGTAACCCTTGCAGCCTTGGGTGGGTGTCCACAGAGGGCCCGGAGGGGCCAAGGGCTTGTCCACCCCAGCAGCGGTCACTGGTGGAGCTGGTCCCTGTGTGTCCTCATCTGCCTGTAGCAGCTGTGGCCATAGCATGCTCCATTGCCAGTCACTCTGCTGCATCTCGCTTGAAGATGTTTAAACAAACACTATGACAGCCAGCTCCACTCTGGGCCCCACCCTGCTGGTTCCCGTTCTGTGACACGTGACCCGGAGAAATGCTCCCCTCAAGGAAGAGCCCTGCCATCGGATGACCCAGGCAGCACTGTAGCGTTTACACATCAACACAGCATTGATGTTGGAAATGCTCCATCTCTTATCAGTCTGCGGAAGACACAGTTAAGTTTATGAGGACTGGTTAATTCCAGTCATCTGAGAAATAAATTCAGGTGAAATTTAGATCTAGAAAAAACAAGTCGGTTTCACCACTTAAAATTAAAAAGAAGACGAATATTTTCATTTCATTTTGAAAGAATGAAATTCTTCTTGAATTCTTCAAGCCAAGCCACACATGCGTCCAGTAAGGGCGGAGGGAACCCTTGACATGCGATCAGAACATGCTGTTGAGAGACCAGCAGCACCCTGTGAGAAAGTTCTAGAAGACAGTGTGGGCCACCACCTGAGGAAGACGTCTTCTAATTGCCCTCAGGAGTCCACCGCTAGGGAAATAAACATAATGGGGCCCTGCTTCAGTGACCCCACAGTACACCTGACTTTCCTTTTCACTTCATTCCTCACCAAAATTACACCAGGCTGAGTAAGAATTTCCGGTGCTGTTTAGCCACGTGAAGAAAACACAGCCCAGGCCGCCAGCCAGTGAGCAGAGCCAGGTCCCCTGTGTGTGGTGTCCACGGTTCTTTATCCTGCACCAGCGGCTCTCGGGGATGGGGCGGGGGGAGGTGTTCACAGCAGAGGCCTGGGGTACTGCATGGCCCAGCCGCACCGACCACAGGCCACGCCACCATCACTCAGCACACAGCACGGCCAGGCCGGGTGGGAACCCCTTTCCTTCCCCACACAGCTGTGGGCTCTGGAAAAACAATGACATCAGACAGAAATGGCTGTCTAGTGGGTGCTTACAGTGAGCTGCAAACCACGCTAGAGAGACCGTGCGTTACCACAGGAATAAGAGGTCTGTACCCCTCCCGGTAGGGGTTTTTATGCCCATGAAAGGAAACCAAGGCTTTGGCAAGGTCAGGTAACTGATGGTTAATAAGAAGTGGATTCAGGACTCAAACCTGCAGTCAAGGTATAGATGGTGATTTGTGTGCATCTGTGATTACATGGAGCATGGATGGAGAGAGAGAGAGACAGACAGACAGAGGAAAGACCGACTGCTCTTCTAGCAGTGAGCTGTGCACGGTGTGTAGGGAAGACCTGCCCTGCGTCCTCCTCCTCCATTCTCGGTGGGATAGGGTCCTGGGAACATCCCTGCGGTCCTCAGTTAGGTCAGGGTTAAGGAGATTTGCAGTCCTCGTGGGGTTTTTATTTTCCTCCTACAGCGCTTCCCCTCAGGTAAGTCTAGCGCAGGAAGCATCACCTGAATGAAACAGAGGCCGTAAACTGTGCTGTCCGTTTGGCCGCATGTGACCTGTGGGCCTCAAACTCTAGAGCAAAGTCAGAGTTAGGCAGAACGTGCCGTGAATCCTGGTGCTTGGCTCCCGTAGGATTGCTTGTATACCCAGAGAGTGCTCAGGCAAAAAGGGGGGGAAAGGCCAGACATAATTTGAGCAAGACCTGGCCTCTCTGTCTGTCCAGTCCTGGGCATCTGCCCACTAGAATATTATGGTGCTGAATATATTTATTGGGTCGCTCACCAAAACCCATACATGCTGAGACCAACTGCATCTCAGACTTCATGAAGAGGCAGACAGCGCTCGTCTGCACAGGCAAAGCTCATCACCCCAGAGAATCCACGAGCGAGGCTGTCACACTGCTTTCCCTCCCCGCCTTCCCGCCTGCTGTGGGCACTTCACATTATAACGGTGACCGCTCTTCCCTGAATCCCATGCTGACATTTAATACAAATGAGTGGAATTCATTCATTTAACCCTTGAACACCACCCCCTGCTTCCTCTGTGTCACGATCCACTTTGGGAGCTGAGTTGCTCTTGCTACAGTCACGGCTCACGGCCTCTGGACGCTGCCTCTGCCCACTGTGCTGCAGCTGCTTGAACACAGGCTCTGGATGATCTCGGAGGAACACGTGCACCTTTCTCGACCACAGGCCTTTCCCTCTGAGCTCCGGGTCTACCACGCCTGTGGGCGCTGTCTATCTGTCGATGGTCACCTCCGAGGTCCAGGCAGGACTGGAGCTCAAGTCCACCTCCATCCATCCTCAGTTGGCTGTCGTCTCAGGAGCCCTACCTGAACTGCTCCTGCCATCCCATCACCTCTAGTCCCTGCCTCTACCTTCAAAGCCAGGTGCCCTGGGCAGGGCGGAGACTCATCCAGAAAGAAACTTCTCTTTCCAGCCAACATCTGGGCCTGTCCCCTGCGTCACCGTTTCCTGGAGCCTTGGCCCTGCTTCTCTCCCCAGCTCTGCAGCTGGAACCATGGCCCATCAGGTCTCTGCCAGCTCTTCCTCAGCGCCCTGGCTGTTTCATTTCAGCTGCATCCTCCTCAGGGTGAGATGCCTTGTCTGTTCCTCCATCTCTCTGGGGGCCACACTCCTGCTGGCTTGTGCTCCGCAGGTCCTGTCGTGGTCCTTTATCTTATTTGGTCACATCTTGGGACCACAGTGTCAGCGTCATCTCTTTCTCCTCGAGGCCCAGGTTCCTCCTCTACCAGGCCATGACTCCTGAGCAGCAGGGTCATTTTTACTCCTAAATCAGCTCCACCTGTGAGAACCTCTGACAGGGAAGCCGTGAGCGGTGTCGCCATCTGAGCCCGGCTCCCTGGCCCCTTCCTCTCGATTCCTTTGAGCGCCCTGGCTGGCAGCCGTTTCCCGAAGGGCGCACTGCCCGCTCTGCATCTGCGCAGCCCAGACTCCCCGTCACTGCCCCACCACCAGCCCGGGTTTCGTTTTGTCATAAACCATTTTCTGCACACAGTGCTTTACCATCCGGGGCATGGCAGATGTTTTCCAGACTGCGAACGCTGCAGTGTTGAACTCACCGCCAGCAGCCTTCTTCCAGCCCTCGTGGAAGACCCATTGTAGAGCAATTTGTCTTTCAGCTGTTGCTTCAAACCAAAATTGAACATTACAGGGAACTGGATGTGGGGAGGGGTGGAGAAAAAGGAACAGAGCAGTGCTTTTTATGGTCCAGAACTCTCTGCGAGAGGTGTTTTGTGCTGCAGAGATTTCTAAGAGGTGCTTTAGTTTCCAGTCCATGCATTTTCCACCAAGTGAAGAACAAGAATACCCAGCACTGACAACTGAGCCATGGACCATGAGTATTTTTAACCAGAGTAATTTTCTCTTAAACGGTGAGGTTGTGTTTAATTGTGCTCAGGATAAAGCAGCCATTTATGCAGGGGTAAGTTGCTGTCCAATAGCTTTTGAAAGTCCCCAACTGCAGGCCACCACCATGCCTGTAGGATGTCAGCCTCTGTGACTTGACGTGGAAGACTCATTGCCATCTTAACCGTGGGGTGACGGGACCCCACAACTGTGGGGCCGTCAGTTAGCTTCCTCAGTCAAAAGTCCGTGTGGAGCTACTGGCATCAACAGA